AAAATAACAAGGCACATGAAATAATGGCAAAGACTCAAAGCCACGTCTTACAAATACAGTCTTACCTAGATCAGGTATGGATGATGTGTTTCCTCTGGATTCCATTCTCTATTCATTCCTTTAAGCCAGGTGAGGACTACGTGGTTTTTAAAAGACTAATGGTTAATTGGAGTGAATTTGCTAAGGTTATAGAAAAACCACCGAAATTTAGGCCTTGTTCCACACTAAGAATTAGGTCCCAATCCCTGATTTACAGAATCCTTGATGTTACTTATCTCATCAAACATATTTCTATTATTTAGTAAGTCCCAATGTTGTCTGAGAAACGCTTAAATTGCTAAGGTTATATTTAGACATTGCATTTTGGTCCTGTATTTAAACTCACAAAGATCTTTATACATAAAATTCTTTCTTCCATTGTGAATAGAAATCAAAACAAAAAAATCAATCAGCTCCATAAACTAGTTCTTCTCATACCTTCTGAATATTGGCAGTTTGTTCCGTAGTATTTAATCATTCTGACACTTATGATTATGGCAGAAATTTATGGCATTTGAATCAATATGAGACTATAGAAACATTATGATCTGACAAAATGTAGCTGTTAAGTATGAACTAAAATATATACTAAGGATTCAAAAAAAGTCAGATCTCACTGATTCTAGAGAATGCTGACCTGATTTATAAAATGTTTTCAATAGGAAAACCTTAAGTATACTGCTAACACAAGGACCCTGGAACTTTCCATTTGTATGGTTATGAAAATTGCTACATTGTCTCTTGCATTCTGGTGGTTTGCATTATCTTATTAGTTGGTTTGTTGCAAAAGTAATTGCGGTTTTACATTGTTGAGATTTGCCATTGATATTGGATACATTCTTAAATAAATATGGCTATGTTATACATCATTTTAATGTACATTTATCACTTAATTTTGTCTCTAGTGACTTATTACTTGCTGTTTATTTTGTATATATTTTAGACTATGGAAATGATGTTAGATAAAAAGCTATCTCTGAGCAGTTTTCTTTTCTTTCTTTCTTTCTTTCTTTTTTTTGGGGGGGAGAGGTTTTTGCTATAGGGCGTGTGCACTCGCCAGACAGACAGAGACAGAGAGACAGAAAGTGAGAAATCACCCCCCAGGGGGGATGGTCACGCCGCGATCCCTTCTCCTCCATTCTCCTCTCGGAATCTTGGGCACGCACTCACACGCACCCGGCGTGAGTTTAAGCCACCGGTCAGGGACGATAACCGCGGTCAACTACGTGGGAGTTGAGCGACATAGCCATTACGCTAACTGCTGGTCCCTCTTTTCTTTCTTTCTTTCTTTCTTAAGAAGTTTTTGTCTTAGGGTGCATGTGCTCGCCAGAGAGAGACAGAGACAGAAACAGTGAAAGGGAAAGTAAGAAATCACCCTCTAGGTGGGTATGGCCATGCCACAACCCCTTCTCCTTCATTCTCCTCCCAGGATCTTGGGCATGCACACAGAAGTACCCCAGTGTGATTTTGAAGCCACTGAGTCTGGTACTTGAACTGTGCTCAGTCATGTGGGTGTCCAAAGACATAACTGCTATGCCATCTGCTGGCTTCTTAAGCAATTTCCTTATTTGAGTTCAAAATGGTTCATAACGCAGTGGAGATAACTTGCAACATCAACAACTCATTTGGTCCAGGAACTGTTACTGAATACACAGTGCAGTGGTAGTTCAAGATGTTTTGCAAAGGAGATGAGAGCATAAAAGAGCACAGTGCCCAGCCTTCAGAAGTTGGCAACAACCAACTGAAAGTAATCATTGAAGCTGATTTTACTACCTTTATATTAAATGTCTCCAAATAACTCAACGTGGGCCATTCTACCATCTTTTGGCATTTGAAGCGAATTGGAAAGGTAACAAAACTCAATAAGTGTCTCATGAGCTGAACAAAAACTTAAGAAAAAACAGTTGTTTTGAAATCTTTTCTTCTTTTATTCTATGCAACAACAATGAACCATTTCTCAATTGGATGTGACAAAAACTGGATTTTATACAACAACTAGCAATGACCAGCTCAGTGTTTGAATGGAGAAGATGCTCCAAAGCACTTTCCAAAGCCAAATTTGTACCAATAAAAGGTCGTGGTCACTGTTTGGTGGGTTCTGATCCACTAGACCTTTCTGAATTCTGGTTAAACCTTACATCTGAGAAGCATACTCAGCAAACTGATGAGATGCACCAAAAATTGCAACACCTGCAGCTAGCATTGGTCAAGAGAAAAGCCCCAATTCTCCATGACAACTTTTGATCACATGTTGTATGACCAATGCCTCAAAAGTTGAGGGGTCAGCAGGTGGCGAAGTGGTTAAGGTGCTTACCTCCCATATGGCTAATCATGGTTTGAGTTGTGGGCCTGGAGACTTGAAACTCATGCCAGGTGCATATGCTCATGTGCCCAAAATCCCAGGAGGAGAATGGAGGAGAAGGAATTGAGGCCTGGCCCCTTGGGGAGTGATTTCTCATTTTCTCTCTCTCCATATCTCTGGCAAGCACACTCAGCTTATAGCAAAAATCTCTCTTTAAAAAAAAGTTGAGTGAAGTGGGCAATGAAATTTTGCCTCATCTCATCTGCCATATTCACCTGACCTCTTGCCAACCGACTACCACTTCTTCAAGCATCTCAACAACTTTTTGCAGGGATAGTGCTTCTATGACCAGCAGGATGCAGAAGATGCTCTCCAAGATTTTGTTAAATCCCTCGGAGGACGTGTTTTTATGTTACCAGAATGACAGACAAATTATTTTCTCATTGGTAAAAATGTGTTGATAGTAATTATTCTTATTTTGATTAATGATGACGTACTTGAGCTCAGTTATAATGATTTAAAATCCAAGGTCTAAAGTTGCAATTGCTTTTGCATCATCCTATATTAAATGTTCCTTAAAAATAAAAACTATAAATATTTTTATAATGTTTTGCTTGCTTCCCAACATATAGGTGGTATTTAATAAATATTTCTTAAATATGGAAGTAAAGTGAAAGAGTAAAAAGAATATCAGAATGGAAAGAAAGTATTGTTCTTAGGCTTAGTTCTGTTACTGACTCTGTGCCTGTGGGCAGTGGGAATAACAAATTTGGGAGATTAGTACAACCGGAAAAACAGAAAAACTATTTGAAGGAAGAAAGAAAAGAAGTCAAAATTGTGAACAAGTCAAAGCTGGTTTCCACATGCTTTCATGATCCTTTAGAACTCTTTCCTTTCTTTCCTCCAACTCTGAGAATTGTCATTGTTGCACATGCACACTGCTTCCCAAAACATACTTCTTCCACATGGGTACACACACACACACACACACACACACACACACACACAAAAACACACACACACACACAAACACACAAACACATTCTCTCTCTCTCACACACACACATTTTATTGAAACAACTGGATATTTGATACAAATGTGTATTTTTGTCTGGATGGTTGCCTAAGTCTTCCATATTGCCTTGCTAGATTTGATTTGCCTGCCTCAGTGATTTTTATGTTTTGGATAGCCTTAACTAAGATCTTCCTGTACTTAGATTTTATTTGCCTGTACACTGGCAGAATTCTCCTTTTATAATGTTGCAGTTTTCAGCTTGTTATTCCTTGGGTGGCTATATCCCACCATCTGCCTCCCTGCCACACACACACCACTTCTGTCCTCCACACAACTATGGGATATACTGAAGGGTTTAACTTTGAGCCTTTCAGTAGATTTTAAACTCTTCAGATATAATTTCTATAGGCTTGAGGTAAACAGCCTGCCATGGGCAAATCCAGCACTATAGTACCCCAAATGTGTTGAAATTCCCATCACCTTTGTAATTCATTAGAGTTAAAAAAAAAAAAAAAAAACTCGAAAATACCAACCAACCAATAGTTCTAGTTAAAATGTACATGTAGTTACTTAGTGAAAATAGAGGTCACTAGAAAAGATCTTTGCAATACATCACTAAGGGAGGGTTAGCTACTCCTTTGACTTTGGAAAGGCCAAGCAGAATGCTGAAGGGGTGAGTTAGTAGGATGGGGTGCAAATGGCCAGAACATCTGGGGCATGGAGCACTATCCATAAAGTTGAATTCGAGGTAACAGACTCCATGAAGCAGTAGCTTTATATCAATGTAGGGGCTCGAATGAGGACTCTTAAACTTTTTTCTAAGTTTATTATTTATTTTTTCCATGAATGAGAGAGACAGGGAGACACACAACAGAGAGAGAGAGATGAGAGAGAGAGAGAGAGAGAGAGAGAACCTTCAACAGGGTCCTGATGCTGTGATGCACTCTTATTGTCAGCCAGTCCTGGATCATGGGCATTGCACTCAATGAAGCTTGCAGACTTAAACCCAGAACCTTCCCATGTGGGTCAATCTTGCAGAATACTCCATTTTACACTATGCCCCTTCTCAATCTTTTTGAGGTTGGCAGGGTTTAGGAGTTAGTGGTAAATTACCAAGTTGACATTGATGGAAGATGTTCTTTATCTTTTTTATGTCTTTGGTTAAGAGCTTTGAGTAGACCTAGGGCTTCTGTTGGTGAGTCTTGCTTTACCTTCAATGGAAACCATCTTTTTCTTCTCATCTTCTTTCTTAATCTTTTTTCTGTTCCCTGATTCTCCTCATTTTCCATGCCATTCCTTCCTTTCCTATTTTCCTTTCTGATTGGCAATTTCCTTAATTTTAGTGTCCACCTCAGTCAAGTTTAGGTGCTTTTAATGCATTTTTGAGAACTGCTAATCATTTCTGTGAATTATGGAAAAGATTCAGTTTATAAGGTTTTTTAATGCTTGAGTCATCAATACTGATTTCACCTTAACTTCATATAGGGGCTATTGTGTTTGCATCTCTGTGACTAGACCTTGGAGATTAAAGACTCTCATTTTCGCATTTTGATAGGGTAGATTTGAAGACAAGACTGTTTCTTTTGGTTGAGCCCCTCTCCTCCCTCACCCATCACCCATCTGTCTCTGTACTTTTCTTTCAGCTAGTTGTGCTATTTGATAGAATTGGAAACACTGCAACTTACATCTGTCTGAGCAGATGGAATGCATTTTTGCATGAGTGTTAACTGATTCATGCATTGCATAAAGAAAGCGATCTATGTTAAAACATTGTGACATT